ATGTGATATCTAGCTAACCATGGTGCTAAGGATGAACTTAAATGTGCAACTCCAATTGGTATCACACTTCAAAGGTTTACTCTATACACCTTAACATCATTTGGTAGTAATTACTCTCCCACAATTCCAATCTATGCATATGTGCGAACTTCAAACCAAACACTTTAGCACATATGTAAGGGGAGCTAATACTACCATTTCGGGTTTGTGGTACTTGTCCAAAATCATTTACACATGGTAAAATTACTTGGGCAAGCAACATGAATCCAAAAGATCTTAGTTTCCATATCTTTGTAGAGTTGTCATCAATTACCAAAAAGGGGGAGATTGAAAGGTCCCTGTGTAGTTTTGGTAATTGAGTGACAACCTAGGTGGACTAATTGTGTTTATGTGAGATACACATGTGATTAGTCCACAGGTACATGTGTGTGAGCAACATATGCCATGAAGGTGGAAATGGCTTGGAGATGTTGCAAAGCTCACACATGTGATGATAAAGGAGCTCATTACACATGAGACATGACATTGAGTCATGTGATCAAGGTGGAGAAGATCAAGACAAGTCTTGGCTTGATGGATCGGTTGTAAGCGTGAAGGGCAAGTTGAAGGCTTTGGAGCGATGGACCACATGACGGTGAAGCTTGAGCAAGACTTGGCGTCGATAGACGAAGGCAACGGTGAAAAGCAAGTAAAGTCAAGATCGATGAACAAATATGATCACATGATGATATGAAATGGATCATATCATTGTTGATCGTGTTGGTGCATGTGTTGCATCGACATTGGAGGAGATGGAATGGAATGCGCAAGGCAAAGGTATAACATAGGGCATTTCATTTCACCGGTCATAGGTGTGTAGAGAAGTTGATGACCGATTTTAGGATAGATGGTCGTACTATCAAGAGGGGCAAACTTGTTTGCATATCGATCATCTATTGCCACTTGAGTGATCTAACTTTGCATCGTCGCTAGGATCGAGTGGCGTGGCAAGTTGAGTGGCAAATCCTTTGGAAAATGTTTATGAAAAGCTAACACACATACATATGGTGGTGTACACTTGGTGGTGTTGGCACATTTACAAAGTAGAAGAAACTGGTGAAGAAGAGGAGTTGAATGCGCTGGTCACGGGGTGACCGGATGCGTCCGATATGTGGACCGGATGGGTCCGGTGTCTTCCCGATGTGACCGGACGCGTCCGATATCTATACCAGACGCGTCCGATAATCTGGCCAGGAGTGGGCAGAGTTGCCGAGGTGACCGGACTCTGGCTCGTAGCAGTGACCGGACGCTGAGCAATCACTGTGTAGCGTCCGGTTGTAGTGACATGGAGCACTGGTGTTGGTCCAGAGTGGACTAAACGCAGGGGCGCGTCCGGTCGGCCACACGGGACGCGTTCGGTCGGAGTTGAGCAGTTCTGGGAGCTCTCTGGACTCGACCGGACGTTGCCCATCCTGCGTCCGGTCGGTCACACCGGACACGTCCGGTCGTGGTTGAGCAGCTCTGGGAGCTCTCTGGACTCGACCGGACGTGTCCGATCTGACATGTCAGAAAAGAGCCGTTGGCGGCAACGGCTAGTTTGAACGGGACACGTGGCGGCCAGGCAGCGACCGGACGCGTCCGGTGCACACAACCTACGCGTCCGGTCGTCCCGAAAAATGCCCAGTGAAGGGGTAACGGCTATTTTAGCCCATGGGGCTATAAATAGAAGTGGTGGTCAGCTTTTGGCTGGGAGCTGAGCTCACTAGAGCCTTGGTGGCTTATGTGGTAGTGCTTGGGAGCCCTCTAACTCACTCTAGCTTGATAGTGTCCATCCGATTAAGTGAGTGAGCGATTCTAGTGCGATTGCATCGTGAGGTTGCATCGAGTGGCACTAGGTGGTCGTCTTGCAAGCCGGTGGTGCTAGGTTGCCACCTCCTAGACGGCTTGGTGGTGATCTCCATCAAAGCCCGCAAGAAGCTTGTGCGGTGCTCCGGAGAAGAGCTTTGTGAGGGGCATTGTGCTCGCCCCGCGGGAGCCGCGAAGAGCAAGTCTAGTAGAGCGTGTCATTGAGCTACCCTCACTTTCGGGGTAGGTTCTTGCGGTGCTCGATGTGCGGGCTTGGCGGGTGATGCCAATTAGCCGCCGAACCACCAAGTGAGCGGTCGACACAACGGGGACTAGCGTGTTGGCAAGCATGTGAACCTCGGGAGAAAAATCACCATGTCAACTTTGTTCTTCCCGTTGGTTTGCATCCTCGTTACGCAAGCTTGTAATTACTTTCATATACATTGTGCTTGTGTAGTTGCTTTTGTAATTAGTTAGCTTGTGTAGCTTGCTAGTTACCTTCTAGTTTGTGTAGCATAGAAGTAGCTCCCTTGCGTAGCTAATTTGGTTTGTGTAACCTTGTTAGTCACATTGCTTAGTTTGTGTAGCTAAGTATTTGCGCTCTCTAATTTGGTATTGGTTGCCTTGTTATTGAGCATTGCTAGTGAGCTTAGTTGGCTTTGTGCTTTTTACTTACTAGCATGTGTAGGAGCTCCCTCGTTGCTTGAAATATTAGTGGCATAGGTTTGTGTGACCTTGCTCCTAGAATTGTATAGGCGAGCTCTAGCTAGCCCGACACCTTTATTGCATAATTAGGATCTTTATAAGGTGTTTGTGAACTTCGATAGAGGGGTGTAGTCTTGGCTAGACCGATTGTTTTAATTCCGTAATTGTTTTGGTTAGCCAGCGCGATTAAATTTAGAAACGACTATTCTCCCCCTCTAGTCGCCATCTCGACCTTACAGCTGTGCAATGTCACCTTGCTGCTTGGATGAGGTACCCGAGCAGCGTGGGTACGCCTGTGAAGGAGAGGGCCGCGACGGCCAGGAGCTTGCACACACCGAGGTCGAGGTCCCCGCCAGGGAGGTCCGCGTTGATGAGCGCCTAGAGGAAGTCGTCGTTGTCGTCCCCTGTGCCGCTAAAGACGTCCAAATCGTCGACTACGCCGGCGTCGACGAGGTTCTGTAGGAGGAGTGGGTGCGGCGTGGTGGAGTGGGGCGGGCGTCGACGAGGTTCTATAGGAGGAGTGGGCACGGCGTGACGGCAGAAAGTGGGGCGGGCATCCGATGCAGTGATGCTGCGACGAGCGTAAGCGAATGAGGATTTTTGTCGATGAGGATTCTGTCGTGGGGTAGAGATGGGGGAGAGAGCGTAATGGGAAGCAGACCGATTGACTATTGGGCCTGGTTGCTGCACATGCCCAGGAACAGGGGAGTCTGGATGCACATGCTCGGATGGACGCTATAGTCGTAGCATTACCGCACAAGATGTATGAAAATTTTTAGGTAAACCTTTCGAATATTACGGGCTCAATGGAATAGCGTGTGAATTCTGTATCAACCATATCAATCTAGACCCGTCCGTCAGCCATATCAATCTAGACCTATTGATTGCATATAATGGATGACTTCCCGACGTTACATCTGTTTTCTAAATAACATCAAGGAATATAACATGAGATGGTAGAAATTTACTAGGCAACATGTATTTATCAATTTTACATGAGGTGGGTGAGAATTACTAGGTGACATGTATTTACATGAGGTGGGCAGTATAAAAAGATAGATAGATATAGTATAGCTAGATATAGATATAAGATATATAGATTTATTTACCGCACCATGAACACGACGGTTTTTAACCCCATTTCCAAAATCCAAAAGAACCGGTAACGCCAGTTAAATACGACTGCCACGCAGGCAACCCACCCGCCCCAGCCGGTATCCCACCCGTTGGCGTTCAAATATTGCCCAAGCGGCAGGCGAGTCAGCGGTACGGACGGCCCCGATGCGTCGGCTCCTCCCGGTGACCATCTCCCGCCGTCCATCCTGACTCCCCATCACAACACTTCAAACAAGCAAAGCGGAGGGAAGCAAGCGGCACGAGGGCTGCCCTGGAAGCATCCATTCCACTCCATCCTCAATCGCCTCCGCCTCCCCCAAATTTGAAACCTCCGAGGCGGACGCGAGGCGAAGGCGTCATCGCGTCGGTGGTCGAGAGGGCGCCGCCTCCCACTCCGCTGCCTCTCGCCGCGCGCCGCGGGGGTTGCACGCTCTTGGGCGCGCGCTCGGGCGCGGGGTTGGATGCGGCTCCGACTTCGGCCGACGGAGTTGCTCGCTGGCCACGCCGAGACGGTGGGTGAGGTGAGGTGAGATCCCATCCCGCGGCGTTTCCATTTATTTCTCCGTTGGCAGCAGTGGCGGATCCAGGATTAGGTCCAAAGGGGGCTAACCTCGAGGTGGCAGCGCCGGAGGCCGGAGGTGAGAGCGGAGGCGGGACGGCCGGCCGCGGACGCCGGACGCCGAACTCGGAGGCCGGAGTGGCGCGAGCTCGGGTGGGCGCGCGGAGGGGAGGAGGGACGCCGGAGGCAGGGGCGCGGAGGGGCGGACGGCGGGACTAGAGCGGGAGTGGCTGAGGCACCGAGCGCGACGGGAATCGGGCGCCGCAACGCGGACGCCGGACGGGGATGGGAGTACGGGAGGGGCGCTGCTCCTGGACGGTTTCTGGATGTAGGGGTTCTGGCAATCTGGCCTGTGGAAGGTTCTTGGTCTGGCCTGTGATGGGGCTGTTGGGCTGGACGGCTGCAGCCCCCCCTGGATCGGCCCCTGGTTGGCAGGACGAAGGATGATCTGGGGTTGGTTCCTCTTGCTCGGAAGAGGGAGGGAGGGGGATCGTGAATTCGTCGGATGGCTTGCTCATCGGCGCTGCCTCTGAGCGTTGGGCGAGTCGACGGGATCGTGACGATAACCTTAGTTTAACAGAGGGATCTCGAGGTAGCATATCACAGGGGAGGGGAGGCGAGGAGTGGTGGGTGAGTGGGTAGCATGTTGTAGAAATGCAGTATTAGGTTCATGATGCCTGGCTTTGGATTTTCTTGTCAACCTAGGGGATTATTTGGCTTCTGTTGTTATATGTGATAATCCACAATATGATGGTAAAATTATTTCGTGTGCAAATGCAACGTTCTTGTAGTAATCATGCCGAGTGACAAAGCAAAAGCTCCAAAGAAGGGTGGAGAGGATCCTGGAATCCCGCCAGCTCCTTGTGAAGGGGAAATTAGCCATGAGCCACAGAGACAACGGTCGCTCAACGGGTAAAGGCCTCATAGTTTTTTTTTCTTTATAAATAAGCATTCGCAGTATGTAGTACTGATTTATTTCTTATGGATATCTGCCCTTTACCTTCACTCAGGAGGACAACTGGCCCGACCCGCGTTCGACCAAAGGAAATTGGACACCTGAAGAGGTATGCCAAACAAACCTTAATGCTGCGTGTGCAAATTCTTTTTGCTTGGCTTATTTACTGAATGTCTAATATGGTGCGTGTTTGCTATTTAAATGTAGGATGCTATATTGTCCCGCGCGGTTCAGACGTACCAAGGGAAAAACTGGAAAAAGATAGGTACTATTTATGGATCGATGCTATGTAGAAGATGAAGCAGTATATTTGCTCTACTCACTTTCATATCAACTCTGTCATGCCTTGTGTTTCATCATTTCTGCTTCTATTGAGCTTCTGTTCCAGTTTTGGAATTCTGTATGTGCAAACAGGAATGACTATATAAATCTATGCTCGGTACTATCTTTAGCTTGCAACGAGGCAACATCTACCAAGCTGCATATTCTTCAAATCTCACTTCTATATGTTCTTGCAAAAAAGAGAGCATTTCTTCGTTGCATTAACTGATGCCTTCGTTTTTCCACTTCTGTCAATAAGAAACTCTCTCTGTCTCTTGCCTTAAATCCAAGCCTTGAAAAAATGCCTTCTACTTTTTCAGCGGAATGTTTTCCAGACAGAACCGATGTACAATGTTTGCACAGGTGGCAAAAGGTTCTAAATCCTGAATTGGTTAAAGGGCCATGGTCTAAAGAAGTAAGCATCCTATTGGATTTTCTATTTTGTTTTTATTTCTTATTAACATTGACGAAGAATTGGCCTACCCCAACTTGCTTGGGATAAAATGGCTTCGTCTTTGTTGATTAGGCATCTTATGATCACTTATTCAACACAAGATATTAATATCAACCTGTTCTCTTTCTGTTTATAGGAAGACGAAATCATAGTTCAGATGGTAAACAAATATGGGCCAAAGAAATGGTCGGCCATTGCTCAAGCTTTGCCTGGACGCATAGGAAAGCAATGCCGGGAACGGTATGCCGCAGCAAGTTTCTTGTTTACTTCAAGTTTCATCAAGCTTGCATCTAAGAAAAGTTCTTTATCCCCTTTGCAACCGTAGTCTATACTTCATGTTCAATAAAGAAATGGCAAATGTTAGCTCACAGTGTTGCTTTGACCTCTGATGCTTTTTCACAGGATTATTGGCATTAGCTGTTTTGCAAGCCAATAACAGCAGTGCCACAGTAGAAGCATTACTAAATATTAACCTTTTAAACTGTGTAAAAATGCAATCTTATTTAACCATCTCATGTCTTGTTAACACACTGAGCTCTAGGCATCATAAAGTATGCCTTTGTAAATTCACTCAATTATGGGCACAATAAATATGTATCTACATACCTCAGTTGATGCTGATACTGTAGTTGCTGTTGCTCTAACTATGGACTAGCTTATCTGATGCAGGTGGCACAATCATCTTAACCCAGCCATAAACAAGGAGGCATGGACACAAGAAGAGGAGATTACTCTTATTCATGCTCATCGGATCTATGGAAATAAATGGGCTGAACTGACGAAATTTTTACCTGGAAGGTAACTATATGTTTTCCTTAATATCCACCGGTAAAGCTTTACATATGATTGTAAAACTATACCTAGTTTTTCCAGGAACAATTTTACCTCTGATAAATGTCATATTGTGCAGTGTCAATTTGGAAACCAATATGTGTTAGTTAAAACTGGAAATCAACATGTATTCTTCTGTATCAAGTAATAATGGTGAACTTTTGCAGTGAGCAAAGAGGACACACTATTATCTGCTTATGCTTTACCGCCAATTGATAACACAAAGGTCTTCTCAGTTTACAATCAAATCTAGTTGAGCTACATGTTACTATTGCATAAATCACTCTTTTTTTAAAGGAAAAATCACTCTTATTGTTAGCCAATGGACTACTTTAGATTACCAAAATCATTGAATTTGTAATTTCTATTTCCCCTACAGGACGGATAATGCAATTAAAAATCACTGGAACAGTTCAGTAAAGAAAAGGTTGATTCGTACATATCTTCTGGCTTACTTTCAGAAGTCCCATGCCTCCCTCTGATTGAATATCCTGCACAATGCGACTCTTTATCGGCTATGGACCAACAAAACAATGGAGATAGTGGTTGCAGTGCTCAGAACACTAGCATGGCCTTGAGCTCTGATTTACAAGTAAATTTGGATGCCAACAAGAGAGAAGCAAAAGACTCTCACTCGTCCTTGTGTCAAGGGGCATGTTATCCTTCCACAAAGGCTGTAGGATCTGTTTTGCCTGATGAGAACCACCATGTTCCTTCATCTTTTTCTCAAAGAATGGACCTGCAGATGGATATGGATGAAGGATCAGGAAATTCTATGTTTGCAGACGATCAAACTCTTTGTAGCACATCAAATCAAGAAAAGTCTATGGTGCCATTTGTTGTTGCACAAGAAATGCCTGTCTCTGTGCTATCAAGTGTTTCTAGTGCTGAGCAGAAACTGCACTTAATCTCTGATGCTGAAAGTTTGAAATCCGAACTTTGGAAAGATGTTTCTTTGCAAACTCTTATTTCAGGAGATACAATTGACCCTGATGCTTCTTCAAGATTAAATCACCCAGATGCTTCTAAAATGGACACCAATTTTTTGACACAGGCCTACACATTATACACATCAAATCCATCCAGTGTGATGGAAACTGTGTATGAACCAATGCCGTTGGAGACAATCTCTCCTCTTTTAAATGTTCAGATGGTTTGTCTGTTGCACCCGAAAATAGATCTGAGCCAAGAGAAATGCCAGACTGTGAAGCAGAGATGGTCACATGTTCAAACAATTCTTTTGGTGATGGCGATCAATCTGCTAAACCTGGCAGCAGTGATGACAGGCCAGAGGCTTTCACAATGACTGAGAGCATTACAAACTGTGGGGGGTCAACAGTCGACAGATGCTGAAGAACCTGTGGCCACTACAGCAAAAGAACAGTTATCGAAAGATATTGAGACTATGCCAGATGAAAAGAAGGGTGAGGGAGCTCTATTCTATGAACCTCCTCGATTCCCTGGTTTGGATGTCCCATTTATCAGTTGCGATCTTGTAACTTCTGCTGATCTGCAAGAATTTAGTCCCCTTGGGATTAGGCAGTGGATGCGGTCGACCATGAATGTCCCCACTCCTTTAAGATTATGGGGCTCTCCAACACATGATGAAAGCCCAGATTTGCTAAAGAGTGCTGCTGAAAGCTTCCCATGCACACCATCAATAATGAAGAAAAGACAGAGAGGTCTATTGTCCCTACTCCAGATAAAAGAATTGAGAAGAAATCTGGGATTGCAAAGGGGGTGACAGATATCTCCTATATGATCACGGCCACATGTTCCATGAATGCAACCAATGATGGAGACATTGTTACTGAATCAGTTGTGTGTGCTGAGCAACCTTCTTTTAAACATCTAGACAAGAAACTTGAGTTCTCTAATATTAACAAGGAAAACTCAGATGGAGCATCTGAACAGGCCAAAGATCCACAAAATGCAGGGAACAAACGACTTGTGGAGGAGCAACGTTCCTCACCAAATGTTGCAAATCCTAACACTGATCTGCAAGACAATATAGTAAGTACATTTAAAGACATTATTTGGTGATACTTAGCCAGTTGGTAGTAACCATTTTTCCTATGAAAGAAAATATTGTAGCCATATTTTCTGAGTCTTACATAGATTGGTAGTAGCCATATTTTCTGAGCCGTACATAGATTGGGGCCTCCAGAAATGCATCTTGATGACATGCCAACTGGCTATGTACTTTTTCCAGTTGATTTCTTCTTACCGGTATTTTTTTAATGCAGCAACCTGTACGGATTCTTGTTGAGCACAGCAGCAATAACCTTGTTGCCGCTGATCATGGTGCAAAGCCATCCTGTAAAGAAGTAATTTGTTCAAAATCAAAGCCCACGGAACTACTTGTTGAAAAATCATCACCATGTATCAACGCGGATTACGAATATGTGAACTTGTAAGATACTGGTCTCAATAGTGTTCCTTTGTTTGAATTATTTGTTCCTTTAGTTAGTTAATCAGTTCAGGCTTCAGTGTATATGAAACTAAGCTGTGGCAGGTTCTTTTTGTCAATATTTCTTCTGAATTGCTGCTTTTGCCAGATTGGCTGATACCCCAGGTGTCAAAAGAGGACTCGAATCCCCATCTGCATGGAAGTCTCCTTGGTATATCGATATGCACATGCACTTTCAGGTAAATTCATTCCTTTTCGTTCATATTCTTTTTTATTTTCTTGCAGCCATTGTCTCATAAATAGATAAACCTTTTGCAGTCAGCTTAACTCTAGAGTTTGATTGGATATGGGAATTCGATCCATATCTCTAGGTTTAGTTCAAACTTTAAGTAAATCCAAAAAGTTCCTATGTATCTTAGTTTTGAACTGTGCAAGAGAAGCATCTTTTGTGATTAGCGACTAGCGAGTAGCGACTGCTGTTTTTTATGTTTGTTTTGGTTAACATCTTTATTTGTGTCCATATGCTCCTTCCAGGGTTTTGTCAGCCCAGCAGACAGAACTTATGACGCGTTAGGATTAGTGAAGCATTTAAGTAAGCACAGTGCTGCTGCTGCAGTGGAGGCCTGTGAGGTGCTAGCAAGTGGCGACAGGACTTCTGATAAGGAAAACAAGGATAATACGGATGGCAAGGAGCCAGTGACAAGAAAATCACAGACTAAAATCATGGTGCGTAGCATCAACTGGTTATAGTTTAGTAATTTGACTAGCATGAAACAATCTCTCTTGGAAACCATAGTTTACTGTTTATCTGTCTGAATTATCACAAATGTGGATATAGCAATTTCAGGACATAGTGTGGGGAGCTGATTGCAACTCAGTATGGTATTGTTTTGTCTTTAAAGATCAAGCATTCTAATTCCAGCTAATATTGCAGGCGGAGGCGCGAGTCCTGGATTTCGACGAATCTTCCACACCTGCAAGAACAATAGATAAGAAATTTGGCAGCTGTCTCGGGAGATCTGTTAGCTCACCCATTCTTCCCTCCCCCAACCTGAGAAGTTTCCGATAGGTAGAATTTTGAGAGATACACCAGATATGGTATAATTATACATTAGCCGTATGTACATGTATATGTTCCTAGAGATCATTGTTCTTTCGTTACTCTGTACTGTTTGCCATTATGTCAGCGTACAGTCTCAGCCCAGAAACTAGCTTCCAAAAGGCAGCAGTATCATTGAACTGTTGAAACTTCCCCTATCATTCAATTAAAATTATTATTGATTGCTTACTCTGGAGATGTCTCCTGGCACTCTTTGGTACATGAAACATGTTATGGTGACGCGGTCTCCGAAGTCCAGCGCGCAGACCAGTCCGATAATGCCCTCGCGATTTTCGAGTTCATACATTTAGCATTCAGCCATTTAACTTTGTTTTGTATACTTGATTGATGCTTGTAGCTTCTTGACAATAGCTAGCAAATTTAGAGATAATTAGGCCTGTTCATGGCCACCCGACCCAAAGTTTGATCAGGTGAGACAGTCGAGTCTTGCCTTTCACAAGATTTATGTTGAAATTGAAAATGTTTCACATTTCATCACGAGAAAAAAAATTGGCAAGAGTTCTGGGTAGACGAAAGTCTGTTGTGCAGACGAGAGACGCATCTAAATTCCCATAGGTACAAATTTGTTCAGCATGGCACCGATCCTTGTTAGCTAGGATATGCTGGCACAATTCAATTTGCATGCCACTCCAAGATATGAGATCATTCAGGCACCTGGGCAACCCAAATAAGTATCACGACTCAGCTAATGGCCTCAACAGGCTTTCAAAGTCGACTTCAGCAAAAAGAGAAAAAAAAACAATGGTTGTTCAACTAAGTCGCATGGAGTACAAAAGGCACAAACATAACTTGCTAATGACATCCATCATAAACACCTCTTCTTATATTAGCAAAAAGGAAGCAGTGTCATTTCTCTCCATGATCGCTATCAGGTTCAGTCAAGCTGTACTTTCTCCAGTTCACCAATCATTTCCTCGAACTGCCGCAAAGGGAAACAGGTCAGATTCGACAGCAGCAACAAAGAAAATATTGAAAAGGGAATGGTCTCCTACATGAGGTAATCTGACAGAAACTGGGATGTGTGAATACCTTCAAAATTTGTCTCAAAAGATAATCACCATGACGCTTGGTAGGTTTGGACTCCACAACATGAATAACATCCTGCATATTGCACATCATATATGTATGTAAAGTCTAGTGAGTAGCAAGTATTACAAAACCAGAGCAAGAACAAGCTGCAGGCATAACAAAGTGGCAATTAATCCCAAATACTACAATATAAATATAAACAGCAAAAAAGGCTAAAACCCTGAAGAGAAAATACTCCCACATATTAACAGAGGTTTTCTAACTGCATACAGAAAAGTGATGTGAGCAGAGGATAAGCAAGCAGCATTACCTCAACAATGTAGAAGTCAAAGTCTGCACTCGATACTATCTTTCCGTCACTGTCAACTGCATGCATTTTGTGCTTGTATGTCATCAGGATTGACCTGTCCAAGTATTTGAGCTAATTTATCATACACAAAACCAGCAAAGGAATCAGCAACAGAAGTGTAAATTACATTGTACATACCTTAGGGTTGCTTCATCCATTTCCATATATTGGGCAAGTTTGCTAATGGTTATTGTTGAATATAGCTTCAGATAACTCCGGATCCCAGAAAGCAACTGCTGCTGCTTTACTTCATAGAGAAACAACTTCAACTGAAGACGGTATGCATCCTGTTGCAGGAACCAAAGCTTTTAGAACCTTGGGGTAGGCTAGAGCCTAGAGATGAAGGAAAGAATATAAAAGCAGTAATAGTATTAAAGTAGTAAAAAGCAATAGTTAACGGGCATAGATACATCATCCTGTAAAATAAGAGTACAATAATATAACAATTGTAGTAGGCCATGAGCTAAAGTAAATTTACTGTCTGGCAATGAACCAGAAAGACACTATAAAACAAAAATAAACTGATGAGGCTAATGTACAGCAACATTATGAGGCAAAATTACCTGGTTATAGTTTGTTAGCGGCTGGTCCAGAACTGGAGGTGATGGTGTAATGAACTTGGGGCAAGCATACGAAAATAGCTCATCATAAGCAGCGTATGCTTCATCATCATACCTCTGCATCTTTGTCATCTTGTCATTATACTTTTCTTTCAGCTGGGTGCTAACATTTTCATCAACGAGCTTGTTCTGTGGGCACAAAGATAGGCAAATTGCCAACAATGCATACATCTGCTCATTTTTCTTCAGTATCTGATCATACTGAGGGGACTTCTGATGGTACTGCTTGTACTTGAGGATATACAGAAGAATCTTGTTGAATTCACGAGTGGCCTCAACATACCTAGATTTATCCCCACAAAAAAAACATTGAATATATGAGGAAACAGAATTAACATATTGGGTAATTCCATGGCAGATTAGATCTAAAACAAGTGCAGATGCCGGATTCCATCCCAAGAAAGCGTGTATAAATCTTACGGGCAATTAAATTTACTGGTTCAAATGTCTAGCTGCCTTGCCTAGATGGACGAATGTAAATATGGTCATAAATAAAGCATTTAGCGTTGCTTAGGTAGCAAGGCAGATGAACTAAAATAGCTGATGATGTTATCGCTCTGAGTACCAGAATGTAATATAAACCTTCAAAGTGTTGCAACCTTATGATGCGCAACACGAATCCCCTTAAATTAGTCAACTAAGCTATATGTGTCAAATCTCAATGCATTAGGTTCCAACATCCGTAGTCCAAGCATAGTGATCAGAAAAGTAGGCATGCCACACCTGGCAAGATCATAAGGTTGGCGAAGCCATAGTGGTAGATGGTGGAGATGTGGCTCCCGATGACAATGGTGTAGACCCCTTGCTGGTTGAGGTCAATGGGCGCGAGGCACTTGAGGCCAGTGTGGTAATCCCGAGGAGGCAGTGTATCCTGAGGAGGCCAATCATGCTGTAGTAGCCGAGCACCTTGAGCACGTTGTTGCTGCGCCCTCGTAGTCGTAGCCATCGGTGGCGGTGAACTGCTCCAGGCCCTCCTTCTCCTCTCGAGGATCTGCGCGATCATGGACTTCTCGACCAGCGCCTGCAGGTAGTTGAGGACCCCGTAGACGTTCCAGGCCTGCACGTACATTTGATTGGGGAGAGCAGTCATTCACTGACACTTCTTGGGACTTTGTTGGGGCAAGCAACTGGCAAAACCGGCAAGAAAAAGAAACATAGTAATAATTTCGAAGTAGTAGCAACCTTGTCGAACTGCTTGAGCTGGTTGAGCTCGTCTTCCGTCTTGGTCTTGAGCTTGGCGCGGTACTGGCAGAAGCTCTGGAACTGGTAGACGAACTCGTCGACCATGTCCCAGAGCCACTGGTTGGGCAGCTGCATGTTGACGACGCCGTGGAGGACGACGCTGAAGAGATCGCAGTAGTTGGTCCAGGACTCGGCGCGGTGCGCGGCCGTGAGCGGGGAGAGGCGGGCGTGGGCGTGGCGGTACCAGAGCTCGCGGTAGAGGAGGAGGAAGACGTGGTCGCCGTCGCAGTAGGGGGCGACGGCCTCCGCGGAGGGCCAGGGCGCGTCGCGGAAGAGGCGGTCGGAGAGGCGCTGGAAGCCGCCCTCGTACATCTGGTGGATCTCGTACACGTTCTTGTCCCGGATATGGCGGTACAGGTGCACCACGAAGGTCTTGACGGAGTCCGGCACGTAGTTGGGGTCGTACGCGTCGGCCGCCGCGTGCGGCGGCGCCGACGGCGGCAGGCCGTCCTCGCGGTCGTAGGGGGCGCCCGCCATGGTTGGGTGGGGGCACTGGGGAGGCGAGGGGAGGGGGTTAGGGTTCGGGGTGCGGCGGCGCGGGGTGGGACGGAGGAGGACGAGATGGGGGTTTTGCGGGCTGCTTGCTACGTGGGCCCTGGGGTGAGGAGGCGGAGTGGGCCGTGATGAGGCTTGCAGGCATGGGCCTATTTACTGTCTCTTTTGGCCGGTTGGGCCGGCCCGAGTGGCGGTTCCCGTTGCGTTTTGGTGGGCTGGGTTTGGGTTGGCGCGAGGGAAGTGAGGGCCGGGCGGCTGCCGGGTCGCCGTCGCGTCGTCGTCCCTCCCACGAGCACCGGCGTCCGGTTCAGATTCGGTGACACGCACGGGCACGGACGAAAACCCCACTGGAAAGAGAGGATTCCTCCGCCGCGTCCGCGTTGGACTGGACAGCTCACGCACGCCGCTGCTTTCGCAGCCAGCCAGATCCATCGGTTCCAACGGAACATTCCATCCACGCCCGCCACCGCGCACCGGCATTCCTATCTCCATCTCTATCTCCGATCCGCTGCAGCCCGCAGGCACGTTCTCCATCCCTCCGGCCGCCCGGCGTGCGGCGGCCAGCGTCAGCGAGCGGGCCACTGTGTGTGGGTGCAGCTACCTAATTTTCGCTGCACAAAACCAGGGAGGGCGGGGGCAGAAAAGGAAGGGAAAAAAAGGGAGAGGCAGAGGTGCGCGGCCGACCTGCGTGGTGCGGGTGGTTTCGAGCACGGGCGAGCGCTCGCTGCCGATCCCAATCGGCCAGCAGGGGCCACCCCGCCCTCCGGCCGTTCTCCCCGCCCGCCGGCACCCCACCCGCCATGGCGGGCTCCATGGTGGACCGCGCCACCAGCGACCATCTCATCGGCCCGGACTGGGCTAAGAACATGGAGATCTGCGACATCTGCAACCGCGACCCCGGGTACGGACCCCCTCTCCCCCTGCCCCGATCCCTCCCAGATTCGGGCTGCTCCGCCATCGGATTCCCTACCCCCTCCCGCGAGGTTCCATGCTTACCGCCGACAGAGGTCGTCTCGTCTCGATAGCTCCTGCGATCAAATGTGGTTTTGTGCCGTGGAGCCGTGTGATTCCCGACGCGCTCGCCCTTCTCGGAGTTAGGTTCCAGCTAGAGGCGCTCTAGGCTGCTGGAATTCGGAACTATCCGCCACGGGTGTCTCTGCCAGGATCATCATTTCTGACTCTGCAATTTATCTGCCTTGCTCCGTTTGCATTCTCATGTCTTTTAAGCGAAAAAAAAAAGTGTCAGTAGTCTCCGATCGTACAATAGAGGGGGCTTCATTCGCTCATCATTGTTCAATCATAATTGGGCAATCCCTGGTTTGGCCATCCAGTGCTCCATGCTCCATTTGTTGATTAGGTCATAATTGGGCAATCCCTGGTTTGGCCAGTACAGGGTGCTGTAACCTTATTTTCCAGATCAATCACAGCTTGCTGCATGTATGAGGGAAAATATCCACAAATGATTTTACAAATGGCCAAAAAATTTCAGCAGTGAGCTAGACCAGTGGGGATACGGGGAAGATAGTGTAAACTGTCTCCATATTTTCAATCCAAATGTTTTGATTCAACTTATGACAATACATTTGAGCTTCTGATTCTGCTGGCAATTGGTTCAAACTAATGAATGCACTTTGATTTTAATTTGATTCATGGCGAGAATTGGGATTGAATATCAAACATTCTACTGGACTCAAATGATATAGCTTGCACTAGGTTCCTCATGTTCATTTCGTTTCCCCTGAACAGAAGCCCATTTAATTTGCTTTGCTATGCTGTCGTTTGGTTATCAGTTATTGATTGTCCACATCCATGCTTGTAACAGGCAATCGAAAGATGTTATCAAGGCACTGAAGAAACGGATTGGCCACAAGAATCCAAAAGTTCAACTTCTTGCACTAACTGTAAGTCTATCTGCGACTTGTCATTTACTTTTATGTCTTAAAGTGTGGTAGGCTATTGGTAACTGTCGAAGATTTTGTTGTTGTTTTGTATCGTACTTCCACAAAATCGAACACCTGATCCTCTAGTACTGGTAACTGTCGAATATTTTTTTTGTCCTTTTGTATCCTGCTTCCACAAATCAAAAACACCTGATCCTCTGCTAAGTTATGTGTTGCATTTTTCTTCTATGTTCAGCCATGTTCCAATTTATTTATTTATGTCCCCGTCGTTTTTCTTATGTTTCATTGCATATGCAATTACTCATGCAATCATACCCATGCATCCTGTGATGCTATCAGCATAACTGAGCATAGTGGAGATCTTGCTGGCTGGTTTTTACTATTTAGTCTATTCTTCAGACTCTGATAATGTTAACTTTCACATTTTGTTTCCTTGTTAAAACCACCTAAGAAACACTAACACCCTATAAATTTTGAATTGTCGAAGCTCAATACCTCTGTTATCTTTTTTTATGTTTGTAGAGGTCCAGGATATGTATGAGGCACAGAACGTGTAGCGAATAATTTTTTTATGATGATTTTTTAATATTTAGCTATTACAAAAATATAAGCATTGTCTTGCTGATGATATCTCTCTATTTCAGCTGTTGGAAACTGCTATAAAAAACTGTGGGGATATACTTCACATGCATGTCGCAGAGAGAGATATATTGCATGAGATGGTGAAGATAGTGAAGAAAAAGGTTCAATATGCTTCATGCTTGCAAAACTGTAGTTCATTATTCTAATGAACTGCTGGCTTCTGATGGCGTTTTGTTTTCATGTTACAGTCTGATCCTCGTGTTAAAGAGAAGGTATTGGTGCTGATAGATACATGGCAAGAAGCATTTGGGGGACCACGTGCAAGATATCCACAATACTATGCAGCATACCATGAGTTGGTGGTATAATTTTGAAGCTCGACTCAGTTTATTGCTTCAACATTTTCAATTAACTCATTTGGTTTGTGGTGTATTTGACAAGATTATGATCTTATATTTCTGCCCGGCAGCGTGCTGGAGCTGAATTCCCCAAGAGACTCGAGAAACCTGCACCTTTGTTTAATGGTCAGTCTCAAGCAGCAAGGAATATGCGTAGTCCTGACCAACAGGATGAAGCAGAATCTTCTGCTGCCAATGATTTTCCTGCTTTGAGGTGCGCTTTTTTACATTTTTCATTTTCTGTGTCGATGTCTTTTTCTATCTGTTCTCTTCAATTAAATAGCCTAGCATTTAATTCTTTCAGTACTGTCTCTTACTATCATATCATATAATCTATGAAACAGTAGAATACTGTGTGCAATGATTGTGATATTTCTAGTTTTAGATTGTGGTCTGGTTTCATGTTATGAGGTGGTGTGAAGTTAAATGGAACGATAGAAAATTGTTTGCTATATTGTCATGTTTTCTAGTTTCTGCTTGTTATTTGATGATTTATCATTGACTTGCTTCATGCGCTCAAGATAGCATGAGCATTCATGTAAAAAAAAACTCAAGCTGTTAGCGGTAGTAGATTCAAGAACAGAGGGTACTATTCTCTCAGTATATCCATATGATTGTTCATATTCTGACGTTAAGACATTATAGCTAGTTTTTTTATCCTTGGATAGTCTGTTACTCTGTTTATTGGATAGAGGGCTAGTCGGCACGTTGAGAAGAGATACAGTTGTGTGTATGCCACTGGCTATTGAGTTTAGGCTATCATGCGAGCAAAGCAGCAAATGCCCAATAGCACATACAAATTTCCCTTGAGAATAATTCATCTGGGTTGTTTTCATGACTGTGTTTATACTGAATGAATGCCTATATTTTCAGCATGTCGGAGATTCAGAATGCTCGTGGTATTATGGATGTACTTGCTGAGATGCTGAATGCTTTAGACCCTGGAAACAGAGAGGTACCAAAGTAGCAAACATTGACCTCTTTCCTGTATAAATTTTGAAGCTTCAACCAGCAGTGAAGCATTCCATTCTTATGGGTTTATGTACATAAAAAGAATCTTCCATTTTGTTTTGTTTTGAGAAATTTGTGCCAGCTGCTGACCAGTTTTAGTTTTAGAAATGACCTTGTAATTTTTTACAGTTTGCCAACTATGGAGCATCTTTATCCATTAAATGTTATGTACCAGATCCTACCTTACCTTGTACTGGGTTATAGTGTGTATATAGTACTAAGGGCTGATACTGATGCACACAGATAATTTTTAGCATGCCTACCTGCAATTTTATGTCTATGAACATTCTTATGTGGTTGAATTTACGTGCTGGACACTCCCGTGTGATTTCTAATTTACTTGGTTTACTCCCAGTATTTATGTCATACTCAAGCAATAGTGCCCTACTATATTCCTAATAAGTCATAATCTCCTCTTAATTTGTGAAGGTTTATTGATTATGTTTTTTTTTACGTGCTATGCACATAGGGACTAAGGCAGGAGGTAATTGTTGAACTCGTGGATCAATGCCGCACTTACAAGCAGAGAGTTGTGCAGCTAGTTAATTCTACCACGTGAGTGTGCTTTTTCTGAACTTCATTTTAATACTTGAAGTTCTCTTAGTGCAATATATCTTATGGTAGTGAATGGATATGCTTCTAAAATCGGCACAGATGACCTCCATAGTTTGTTTTGTCAGTTCTTTTGGCCCAATGAGCAATAGCAGTGAGATGCAGATATCAGTGATGCGAGGACAACCAGGCAATAGCTGTGCTCATAGTATAATGTTGCTTGCTACATTCTGCAGGGATGAGGAACTTATGTCGCAGGGGCTTGCACTGAATGATGATTTACAGCGTGTTCTAGCAACATGATGCAATAGCAGCAGGTATTGCAGTTCGAGTGGAGAAAAAACCAAAGTCTTTGCAAGCACTTGTAGAGACCGAGGATTCAGCAAACCAGGACTCTAAAAAGGAGCAGGGACTCATAGATATTGAGGAACCCACAAGCCAAGATGCTGCAAAAGAACCAAATCAAAGGTTTGCTTCCCTCACTGTTCATATGCTTAATTCTCATAACGTCTAGAATTATGTTAATACATGCATGTATGGTTTTGTTCGTACATGCTGGAACAAGTTCAAAAGTAGCGTTTGATGATCATTTTGGGTTCAGCAAGTAATAGTGTAATATGCCAACCTTCACAGCTAGGCAGTCCACAAGATTTTGTTCATATATGCTATATAGAAATAGCCATACTTGTAATTTACTGTTCTTTCTATTTAATTGTTTTTCCACATGACTTCTCTAATTACCCTCTTTTATGCATGTTATCTGTCTTCTAACAGTACAAGTGACCAATCTCCTTTTGAGCAATTAGCTCTTCCAGCACCACCAGTGTCAAATGGCGCAGCAACCTCAGCACCAAAATCTGATCTTGGCATTGATCTTCTGAGCTGGGATGATACCCCTGCCCCTGCTACAGCACAAAATTCACTTGCTCTTGTTCCTGTCACAGATCCTCTTGCTGACTCTACTTCATCAAATCAAAATGTGTTAGCAATTGTCGACACATTTTCACAAAACAGCACCGCCAACAGCAATGCTCAACCAGCTGACCCCTTTGGTCTCAGTCCAAGTTCTGTTATTCCAGGATCGCAGCCTTACAACACTCCAACTCAGCAGCCTTTCCAGTCGCAACAGCCTCCGCAGCAGGCGGCCCTCTATCCAAATGGGGGTGCTGTGAACCCTGGAACGTCTTACGATCAGGCATCCCAGTTTAACAACGTTAGTTCTGGGTGGAATGGTCAAGCTGCCAGCCCGGCGACGCCCCCACCAGAGCAAACACTGAATTACGGTATGGCAAGAATTCTCATCTCTACTTTGCTGTTATATCTTTCTGAAGTACTGCTTAATTATTAATGATTTTTAAATGTGCACTCTTCTGTATCATTTCTGTCTTTCAACCAGAACTCTCTGTATTCATATGAATCTTCTTTTTCTGTCCGGAGAAAATGTGATGATAGTATCCAAACTTTGTAGATGATCAAAGTGGAAACCTTCCGCCACCTCCTTGGGTGGCTCAGCCAGCGGCGAGCAATGAAGTGCCAAATGGCCATTTGGGAGGCATGCAACCTCTCCCAGGGCCAGGCCAGATCGGCGGCATGCAGCAGCCACTGCAACCACAAGTTAACCACATGGGAGTTCCACAAAGCCAGCCAATGTACAGTAACCAACCAGGAGTCGGGCTGCCTCAACAAGGGATGCAACCCAGTCAAGTTGCCGCAACACAGATGCAGCCAGGCTTCGGAAACCAGCAGTTCGGTTCGCTACCACCGACATTCATGATGGGCATGCAGTTCGGTGGCATGCAGCCTCCACAAATGTATGGCGGATCGCAGCCAGTCATGATGTACCCGCAACAAATGCCAGTGGTGCAGTACGGAGCAATGCCGCAGCAGCAGCCGATGTATGGTGGTCGGTTGGCAGGGTACATGCAGCATCCTGCTGTGGCTGCTGCACACTACTATAACAACCAGGGGACGGCAGGAATGTATGGGTACCCTGGCACGAATGGACTGTCTCAGAGCATGTATGGACTCTCGGTGCAGGACAACTCGTCCATGGGGATGAGCTCGTCGTACCAGACTACGACGGCGCCAACCTCCACGGGGGAACCAATGAAGCCAACGAAGCCCGGAGACAAGCTTTTCGGTGACCTCCTGAGCATTGCCAAGACGAAGAAAGCATCATGAGACGAGCAGGAGCAGGAGCAGGAGTGGGAGCGTCGGCTTGGGCCTTCTGATATATTGTCTCCCCTATTTTTGTGATTTTTCATGTTGTTTGATCTTACACTTGTAACATTATCAGAATGTATAAGCTTTTTGGGGTCTTTTTTTTTTTTATTCCCACGCTGTGATCCTATTGATCCCATTGGATTCGTTATACCGTGTGCGTGTACTGATCACGTGCAAGAGGAAACGTTGGCCGTAAATGATGATTCAATAAAGGGTGTGCAGTACGTACTTGCGATATTGTTCTTTTAGGGAATGTGTTACCTTTCTTTCTGAAAAAGAAAGAAGTGTAGATATAGTGAAGCATGGTGTATTCACCATTTATAAACTGCTATGTTTTTTTTTTAGAATTTTAGGGCCAAGCCCTATTCTTTTAACCATTGCCAAAAGACGGTTTGACGTTTGCGGCACAGAGGATGGTAAACCATATGAAAACATTCAGCGTATCATGGCCAAAGGAACCTATCCAAAATCGGTAACGGTAATGCTGGATCAGGGCGCCTGATCCAATAGGAATCTGTCGGATGCCGCCGTTGGTGGGCCGCGACCCCGGCCGAACAGTCCAACGGACTCGCACCGCGTTGCTAAAAAAAATACAGAAGACTCTGCTCTCATTTTCCCATTCCTCGGGTTTCCCCGCAGCGCCCGCACCCATTCTGCCGCGCTCCCCGCACCATTGCAGCGTGATACATCGCGGCCGCACCGCCGCGCCGGCACTGTCGCGGCATGATCCACCACGGCTCTCTCCCCGCGCCTGGCTGACCGCCATCCTCCCTCACCACCATGCCTGAGCGCGGCCGCCCACCTTCGTCGCTCTTCATCGTGCCTCCGCCCTGCCGCAGCCTTCTACACCTGCCTCTGCTGGTGTTGGTGCTGCCGTCTCGTGCGCCCAGCCTGCGCCGCTCGCTTCTCTCTCATGCACATCATGCGCGCCCACCTCTGCTGGTCAGCCCGCTCCCTCCCGCGTGCGTCGGGCCGGTGGTGCTCGCTAGGGATGAAAACGGTTGGAAAACCCCTCAACCATTTTCTACTTCTACATTTGAATACGAAAGCGAAAGTGGTAAAGCTGGACATAAAAACAAACACGAACTTACAGAATACCGAGAGTTTGGAAAACGAACTAATTCAAGCGGAATTATGCCGAACACGGTTGGTATACGAAAAATCAATACTGAATATTGACCCGTAGGACCAAGTGCATAACAATTAACAAGTGTATGACCAAGTGCATAACAATTAACAAGTTCTACAACTTTCATATAAAAAGTATCTCCATTTGACACCATATAAGAAATATATGATTTTTATAAGGCAACATGCGCTTGTACACGATTAATATAATGATAAAACTTTGTTTAATTTTTTTAAATATTTTAACGAATTCAAATGAAAAAACTAAAAACCAGAAAGTTGTAGATCTCGTCGAGAGCTATAATTTTTATATAAAAATCATCTTCATCCAAGACCGTATGAAAAAGATACAATTTTTCTAAGCTGGACTTCTAGTGGGCCAAATTCGGTTTAAACTGAATTTCGAATTTGGGATATTCCGAATTAAAAGTAGAAAACGGTCGAAAAATGTCTAAACCATTTCTGCTCTGATTTCGAATATGGTGTTTCGTATTTCGAACCAAATTCGAATTTGTCTGAAAATACGAATTTGGTGCTCCCACAGTCCCACCCTTAGGCCGGAATCGACTAGCCGCGGCCCCCTCCGCCTACGTTGTAAATGTATATTTTAAGTGTTTCAGATATTTCAGAGGTGTTTCATATGGATGTTACAAAAGTAGATTGTGATGTTGCATATGTTGCAAGTGTTTTAGAGGCATGTTGTAAGTGTTTCAAAGGCATGTTGCAAGCGTTTGTTCAAAATGTTTCATCTATTTCAGACGTATGTTGCAAGCGTTTCGATCTGGATATTGCATATGTTTCACACATATATGTCGCAAGAGTACGTTCAAAATGTTTAAGTCATTTCAGTCTTATGTTGCAATAAGTGTTTTCAAGTTGTAAGTTGCAAGTGTTTTATTTGGATGTTGCATATGTTTCACACATATTCCAAGTGCATGTTCCAGATGTTTTATCTGCTTTAGACGTATGTTGCATCCAAGTGTTTCATGTTTCAAAGGTAGAGAGTCATGGGGCACGGCCCGGGCATGGGGGGATGGGGTGCGGTGAGCCGGGGGCCGGCGGGTGGGGCGTGCTGGGGGGAGCGGTCGAGGTGCCCGGTGCACCTGGGGTCGTGCGGACGGGGTGCACTCTTCTAGTCGTCCTCATCCCGCTCGTGGGTCCTGCTCGTGCGGAGAGAGAATGGGGGTTCACGGGGGAAGGAGCGCGCAGGGGTGGCGGCGGGCGCGGTGAGGAGGAGCACCGTCCGAGCTTGCGGAGAGAGAAGAGGGGGTAAGGAGGAAGGAACGGCGGACGCGGCATTTCCGCAGATGTGCGTGACGGAGGAGGCGCGGGCTTCCGGACGTGCGCTTGTGACCGGACGTCTGGGCGCTAGTATCTCCCATCCAAAATTACAGAGAGGAAGCTGAACTCCAAAACAGAAAACACCAGTACTACTTCAGGATGCATAATCAACTCCCAAGCCTCCCTTGGAGGTGACAGGTGAGGCGTTACATAACACCGGTTTTATCTTTTGTCTCATTTGACACTACCATGTCCATGAGCTTCACCCATTGAATCCTTCTGTGAAGTTGAAGATGCACTCAGCGTGCAGTGGCAGCACCTCCCCCGTGTGGAGCGTCCTCGGCCTGGTTCGATCTCTGGTCTGTGTAAAGCAGGAGTGTGTGCACGTGAGTTAGCTCCTTAGAGCACCTCCAGTGTAGGTGAAAATCAAACCTCGCAGATGTGCTACATTGAGAGTTAAATAATAATCAGTCTATTCGGTTGGCTGATTCGTTTCATTGCTGGTTCGTGAAGAAGTACCGCTGGCTAGTTTGTGTGAGAGAAAAATACTATTTTGACTGAAAATTTACAATCATTTACGATAAGCCACGTCCAAACAAACAGGCTGAAAATTTCTGGTGCGGCCGTTGCCTACTTGCCTCTGCCACCCCCGATGCATCTGGTCGCACACAGTGCGTACATGGGCCCACAAACCGATGTCCATGCTCGAGCTGTCGACCTAAACTTCTTTCTGATCTTTATATGGTTCGCTGAAACACTGGAGGTGACCTAGATATGGTACGTTTTGAATCTGCTCGGGGAGTTTTATTTGTGTTTGAGCGGACGGTAGGCATAGAACGCTCTTTTTAGTTCTTGCATGATATGCCACGTCACCGTAAAATTCGTGTCTAAAATTGTTCAAGGATAGACAAAAGATGCTTTTGAGGGTTTGGTGTAGCCTGCCAAAAGGTGGGGACGGTCCCAAGGTAGGCACCTGCCGTGGATTCACAATACACGTCCATGCACATGTATCCGACGTATGAGATAGTTATAATTTTTCTTTCCAAACTTAAGCAATAATCTTATTCTCATGGACACGTGTCGTAAATTTATATAAAATATATGAACAATATTACTATAAGGGCATATTTAGTGGTGAATTTAATTAAGTTAGTTTAGTATGATGTGGGGCATGTTGGTAGATTTTTTGGGACCATATGTATTAAGGAAAAGAAAAACCTAGCTATTGTTTTTCTAGTTTATTAAATGAGTTGTAGATTCTTAGATTTAAGGCGTATTTAGGTTAAGTGGCGGAGAATGGAGCAAATGGTGTGGTTGGGGGGGATTTTCTTTTTAAAAAGAACAAGTGAATTGTAGCTGACGTCAACATTGCACTGGGCTTGTGTGTGCATGAGGGTACAAGGAGCAAATTGGTGCGTGTGTAAGTGGGCTCTCTGCTCTAGGCTAGTGATGAGCAAATTGGTACATGTGTTCTACGGTCCATGAAGGGGCTGAGGTGGGGCAGATTATAAGCCTAGCTTTGTTTTCACTGGCCCCGCCCCTGGTTTGGATGGCATCCGAAGATTGCCACACACAGGTTCGGCACCACACTCGTTTAGCCAACTAGATTTGGCTGCCACACCTCGCTTATTAGTTATCTTCATATTATATTTTGCTACCACAACTAGCCAAAATCTGGTGGACAGTCGCACTTGCGGCTTGCTTCCTTTTCATTGGAAGCTGTCCTTTTTCTCTTCCTGCAACTGAGGCTTACGTGGAGTTCATAGGTAAGGAAAAAACTAGAGCATACGTGCAATACATGTATTATAAAGTCAAACAACGAACCTAAAGAGAGATGAGTCATACAATCAAATCAAGATGTGCATGTGTATGGATATATATGGTGGATATATAGTGGCTATCCCAATTCTACTTTGCTCCTTGAAAACATATCTCTCATTTGAATCTTGGAAATATTTTTGCAGGAGAATAGGGGCTATCTTTATTCATCTTTTTCTTTTTTTTTCAGGTGGATATCTACATACCCATTGTTTTTAATATCTCGGACACTTTTCTATCCATTTTTTTCTTTTCTTCTCTTTTTTCTGAATAACTTTTGCATAGCCCATGTCTCTTTTCTATAACAGAACTTTTGAGAGATAGCAACAAGAACTTGGAGCATTTATTTGATGAAAAACCTATAAAATATATTTTTGGTGTTTACTCCCAGTGTAGGAGTAAAACATTTTTGGGTTGATCTAAATGGAAAGCATATTTTTACCCCCAGTGTAGGAGTAGTGCATATTTGGGTGGTGTGTACGTGATCTTGATTTTAAGAGCATGTCAAATCTCTCATAAGGGTCTACAAAGCTTGATAAAACTCAATGCAAAACGAGCAGCATATAAGTGGAAGTTTTCCTAGCATAAATATCATGTATGACTCTGGTAAGAATTCAAGCTATGTCATACAGGAACTCATCATAGAATTTTTTTGTATTTTTTCAAAAGATAAATCTTTAAAATTTTAGTGTCACTTGGAACAAGATAAACATCATCTCAGACTTTCTCAT